AAAAAAAAGAAAGAAAGAAAGAAAGAAAAGAAAAGAAAAAGAAAAAAGAAAAATTCCCAAGATGTAGAATTAAGAATTAAATCTGTTTGTTATTTTGTTTGATGAGACTATGACTTCTTACACACTTCCTACTGCCTTCTCTTTTTAAATGTAATTTAATGAACTAATACTATAGCTGTTGTCAAAATTAAGCTTTCTACAACTGGTCCAGTAACTTGTGGGGGAGAAGGGATGTTGGAGGTGGATGGCTATTTAGAACACAAAACAGGTAGATTATTTTTTCGACATCCTTTTCACTTTACTCTTGAGGAAGCATGTGCAGATTAGATATTTAATGATATTCTATTTTTTTTATTTTAATTTTTTTTCAACGTTTATTTATTTTTGGGACAGAGAGAGACAGAGCATGAACGGGGCAGGGGCAGAGAGAGAGGGAGACACAGAATCGGAAGCAGGCTCCAGGCTCTGAGTCATCAGCCCAGAGCCTGACGCGGGGCTCGAACTCACGGACCGCGAGATCGTGACCTGGCTGAAGTCGGACGCTTAACCGACTGCGCCACCCAGGCGCCCCGATGATATTCTATTTTTTAAAAGCTAGGCAAAAGAAATATTTTTGGATAAATATTCATATTGTAAAAATGTGTAGGGGATAAAATCTATCTTTTTAATACAGTTGCCTGGACATGATTTTAGAAACCAGATGGTTTCATTCTATACTTGAAACAGCTTTATTTATCTATCCAGTTATCTATGCAAGGGGAGTAAATTTGTATTTATGATCATATATACTTTTTCCTAGTTTCACAGAAAAAAACAAAAGAAGATGTAGACAGAAAAAGAGAATGTTACCTTGTCCGTGGTTCCTGCAAGACTTCATGCAACAGTTGGGAATACATATATAATTACTGCAATACTGAGCCCTGCTGTGTTGTATGGGACTACCAAAAGCCAGTCACTAAACACATCACTACTAGTTCATACAGAGTAAATGATAAGTCCACTATACCACACAAAATTAAATTGTAACACCACTATTAATAAAAATGAACTTTCTTACTTTTTTGAATCTATTTTCATGTGAGTGTCTTTTGGCCTTCTGGATTACACAACTATATCATGGCAGCTGGTAAGTTCAATGTTAGGTTAGTACAAGAGGAATAAAGAGGGGTAGCCTATTTTTTAAAACTGGCTTAAGTTCTTCTCTACCCACATGACAAATGCCTTGCATCTTTCATACTTCTATTTATCTCTGGCATGTTTATTTACCCTGTGCAGTAAGTAGCCTAGTTATTTCCCATGATCTTTTAGGTGTCAGTCATCAGTCATGATTTATGCTACTTTTTCATAATTTCAGCAAAAATGTGCTTGAGTCTCTACACAAAGTCATAAATACCTTAACACATAAAAAGACAGTATTAGTAGTATAATTATGAGTAAGAACAATCAAACAAAACTCAATAGGGAATAAAATGTGATGAGAATAAAAGGAAGTTAAAAACATTGTTAAAGCATTTTTTTCTTACTATAAAGTGTTAAAAAAAAGTTTGGAAGAATAAAAAAATCTCTGAAGAAAACAAAGAAAAACCATTTCTAATTCTAGAGCTAACCTTGTATCATAATTAATTCTGAACATAGGCAGCCATTTCAAGGTCTTCTCTTCTGGTTCTTAAGAATTTTCTCCAACTTCTTCATCTTATAATTCAGTATTTAATACTTCTATCCTGTCCCCATCTTCAGTGAACTCATTGTATTTCTGGTTTTCCACTTTCCACATTAATTCTACCATAATATTGAATTAATGTTGACATGACTTTCTTATGAATTGTAAAGATTTCCATCAACAAATACTTGATGTGTAGAATTTAAAGTCTCCACTGAGTGTATTTTTTACCTATAGCTACAGCACATACCTGGAAAAATATAAAAATTTAGGTGAGAATTCTGATTTAAAGAAAATGAAAGAAGTCCAATGAACTTGGGGATTAAGACGAGAGGATAATTCCGAGTTTTCTTACTTGGAGAAACTGCTGAACAATGTGATCATTCATTAGGAAATAGAGCTAAAGACATCGATTTGGAAAGGAACATTTGTGACATGTTGAGCTTAGACTTTTTGGCCATATAGAGGTGTGAAGTTTGGGAAAGAAAAATGTGCTTCAAATATAGATTTCAGGAGCCATTAACTGAAGCAATGAGATAAAATCACCCAAAAGACGATTACAGATTGATAAGAAGAAGCAGAAAAAAAAGCCAAAATCTTAAAGAATAGCATTTAAAGGAATTGCATAAAATCCAATAAACATTAAATTGGATTGGATGGAATTGGATTCCATAAGAGGGTAAGAAGGAGAAGCTAGCCAAAGAGAACTCACTCCCAGCCTTCATATCTTCCCAGATGAGGTCTCAGATAGAGAAGAAAAGAGGTCACACATACCTACTATGCTCTGTGTTAACTTTTGATCCACAGAATCAATGAACATAATAAAATGGTTTCTGTTTTAAACCATAAAGTTTCAGGGTAGCACAGTAATACTAAATAGAAGTGTGTATAACTTCTAAACGATAAAAGTTTTTAAAAAAGAAAAAAGAAAAAATACATAATGAAGCATAGGCAAGATTTCTGAAATTATGGGATAGAAAGATTCAGAATTCTTTCCCTTCATAAAGCAGCAAAACAGTGGCAAGAAATCAATTTTTCGAGAGCTATCCAAATTAACCACAGATTTGCAAAAATCCAAGGAGCATTTATTTAAAAAAACAAAAACCAAAACAAAACAAAACAAAACAAAAACCAACACAGGGGCACCTGGGTGGCTCAGTTGGCTAAGCAGCCAACTTCGGCTCAGGTCATGACCTTGCAGTTCTTGGGTTCGAGCCCCGTGTTGGGCTCTGTGCTGACAGCTCAGAGCCTGGAGCCTGCTTCAGATTCTGTGTCTCCTTCTCTCTCTACTCTTCCCCCACTCATGCTCTGTAACTTTCTGTCTCTTAAACATAAATAAATGTTAAAAAACTTAAAAAGAAACCAAACTAAAACAAAACAAAATAAAACATTCTGAATCTCAATAAAAACAGCTAACTTTGTGGCAGTTAAACTGTCCCATTCATTACTTTCCAACTCTCCTCAGCTCCACAAGTAGCCTTGACAATCTGCAGCCTTCTAATCAACGTAGCTGTGAATATATAGAGTATCTACAACTCAATAATAAAAACACTCTAATCCAATTATAAAATGGACAGCAGAGTTGAATAGACATTTCTCCAAAGTATATCCAAAGAGGATATACAAATGTTCAACAGGCATATGGAAAGGTGTTTAACCTTAATAGCCATCAAGGAAATGGAAATCAGCACCACAATGAGTTACCACTTCCCACCCGTTAAAAGAGGTATAATGAACATAAAACACATAAACAAATGTTGGGTATGATATGAAGAAATTGGAACTCTCATACACTGCTAGTGCGGATGTAAATTGGCGCAAACACTTGGGAAAATATTCCGCCAGTTCCTGAAACAGTTAAGGCTGGAGTTTACATTTGATTCTGCAATCCTACTCTCAGACATATATGCAAGAGAAATTAAAAATGTCAATGCAAAAACTTGCACACAAATGTTCATGGCAGCATTATTCATAACAGCCAAAAGGTGAAAACAACCCAAATATTTATAAACTGATAGATAGATAAACTTGTGTAGAAAACCCATACAATGGAATACTATTTTGGCAAAAAATGGAATGAAGTATGAAGTCATGCTACAACATGGTAAAGGTCAGAAGACCTTTCTTGAGAAATATACAGCATTCTTTCAGTAACAGTAGAGTATGCAAGACAGAAATTTGGATCTACAAAAAGGAATCAACTGACCATGGAATTTGTACATTTGTGGGTAAATGTAAAATATTCTTTCCCTCAGTATTTAATCTCTATTAAAGATAATTTACTGCTTAAAAGAAAAGTAATAATATATTGTGTACTTGATTGCATTGCACAAAGAATGAGAATAGCCCACATTATGAATTATGGGAAAGAGGAAATATTAGTATAGAATTGTAAGACTTACATTATAATGAAAGTTAGAGAGCTATATTATAAACCCTGAAGAAGAACAAAAATATATGTAACCAATGCGGTAGATAAAATGTAATCATAAAAAATATACAGATAAAGAAAGGGAAAGGGAACAAAGGCAGGGAGAAAAAACAGAAAACAAATAACAAGGTGGCAGTTTTTTGTTTGTTTGCCTTAAAGTTTATTTTTGAGAGGGAAGAGAAGGGAAGAGAGAGAAGGGGAGAAAGACAATCCCTGGCAGTCTCTGTGCTTACAGGAGGGTTGTTTGAGCAGGGTTCATACTCATGAAATGTGAGATCATGACCTGAGCTGAAATCAAGAGCTGGACACTCAAGTGACAGAGCCACCCAGGTGCCCCAACAATGTGGCAATTTTAAACACAACCATATTATAATTTCAATAAGTGTGCACCTTAAATGTAAATGTGACAATTAAAAGACAGAGAATATAAGACAGGATATTACATTGATTTTTTTTGTTCTGCATAACAAATTACTGCAAGAGGTAAAACCTTAAAACCTTTATTATCTCATAGACTCTATGAGTAGGATTCCAGAAACAGCTTAGCATGGTGCTGCTGTCCCAAGAGCTTTGTTGAGATTGCACTGAAGCAGATAAATGTAGCTATAGACATCTCAATACTTCACGGGGGTCAAAGGATCTGCTTCTAAGCTCACTCATGTGGCTGTTGCCAGGCTTAATTTTTTTTTTTAATAATTTTATTTAATGTTTATTTATTTTTGAGAGAGAGAGAGAGAGAGACAGAGAAAGAGAGAGAGAGTGTGAGTGGGGAAAGGCACAGAGACAGGAAGACAGAATCTGAAGCAGGCTCCAGGCTCCAAGATGTTAGCCCAGAGCCTGGTGTGGAACTCGAACCATGAGATCATGACCCGAGCCAGAAGTCGGATGCCTAACCAACTGAGCCACCCAAGTGTCCCAGGTTTCATTCTTGAGAGCTATTGAACATAGAGCTTCAGTTTTTCACAAGTTATTAAATAGAGTCATGGATTCGAACCACATCATCTGTGCCATTCCATAAGGATTATCCCAGCATAGCACCTTGCTTCCCCTGTACAAGTGATGAGAGAGAGAGAGAGAGAGAGAGAAATGGAGGGAACAAGAGACAGAGACACTGACATACACAAAGAGATATAGACAAAAAGAGAGCCCAAGATTATAACCAGAGTATTTTTAATGGTTATATTAAAAAATAAGAAATGTTTTAAATCGATGATTTAAGCTTCCATTTTAAGGATTTAGGAAAAGAAAAAAATAATTTTAAAAAAAGAAAGGCAAATTAAAAACAATTTTATAAAATACATACCTCAATGAAACCCTTATTTTTACTCAGCAAAAGGAGGGAAATAATAAAATAAGATCAGCAATTATTTAAATATAAAATGGAAAACCAGTAGGAGAATATGAATAAAAACAAAAGCTAGTTTTTTAAAAAGATAAAAATTGATTTTTAGAAATCTCTAGCCACATCGATAAAAAAAAAAAAAAGGGACAGAGAAAATGCACAAATGACCAATATCAAGAATGAAGAGGAGAAATCACAGCAGATGTAAAAGATATTAACATAAGAGTAAGAGACTCTAATAAACAACACTATACCAGTATTTTGGTAACTGTTATGGAAAGGAATAATTCCTCAAATGATGTAAACCACCAAGAGTCACTTGAGAAAAAATTTGCAACTTGAATAATTCTATATCCATTTTTAATAATGTATATTTACAAAACTTCCCACATACAAAATATCAGATATATATGGCTTCACTGCTGAATTCTTCTAAACATTTAATAATGAAAGTATATACATTATATACTCATTATAAACAAGTCATTTGTATGATAGTATAAGGGAGAACATTTCTCAAATGATGTTAGGAAACCAGCATCACCCATATCAAAACTTGAAGAAAAAAAAAAGAAAGAAATTTCAAGGAAACTACAAATATTCTAAACATAATATTATCAAATAAAATGTAAATTTAGTTTTACGCTAAAAAATAAGTCAGCATAATCCTGTATATTGCAAGAGTAAAAAACA